ACACAGAACAGTACGAGGGACAGAGGGCGAGCCCGGATGTGCAACGTGAAACGGAAGGAGCTGCAGAGGGAGAGGAGAGAGGGCAGGGCCGGAGGCAACTGAGGGGCAAATGGAAAGCATCCTGCAAGCTAGAGAAAGAAGCCTGTCACCGCACCACAAAGGTCCACGAGACTGTCAATAAGCACGCTGAAAAGAAGCGTCACACTGAGACACAGGCGGCACAGCCCTAGCACGCGTTTCCCAAGGCACCCATCGGCACCTGCGCGTGCACGCCAACCCGCACGTCGACTGTGTCATGACCGATCACACCGAAGCCCGTGATGGGTCCACACGCGGCACACAGAGGAGGAGCCTTGGCAGACGGGGCTGGAAGCTGGGGCAAGGCTCACAGCAAAGCCGCAGCACAGAGCACGTGCTCCTCTGCTCATGGGATTGGAAAACCCCTCTTCTCTCCGGAAATCTGGCACGTTATCAAGCTAACAGCTTTGACAGAAAGGAGTCTGAATATAAGGGAAAATATTGGCAAAATGCCCTCAAACCTGTTTCAGATGCATCCGCCTCTGACAGAGCCCCAATCTCCGGGGGACGCTCCCCACACACAGCAGCCCAGGGCCAGCCACAGCGGGACGAGCGTCACAGAACAGCGGTGTGGGAGGGAACGCGGAAGGCTGGAGGCCGCCGAGGGGATGGGCCCGGGGCCGGCAGGCGTTTCCGCACACTGACTGGCACGGCTCCCCGCGGGACAAAACTGCTCCCCGCCCGAGGAGCCGCCCCTCACCGCGGGGCGCCTGCGGCTCCTGCCCGGCAGAGGGAACCGGCGTGAGCTGGAACCTCGGTGCCGAGTCTCTCCGGCTCCCCGAACACACACAGAAGCCTACGGGGGCTGTTCTCAAGGTCTGGCTCTCAGGGTCCCTTTACACCCTTGAAAATTACCGACGGCCGCCAAAGACCTTGCACGTAGGCTGCATCTAACAATACCTGCAGTGTTCGAAATCCAACCTGGGAAACTTCTTAAATGTTTACTAGTTCATTTTAAAATGAGAAAAGCCCATGAGACATAAAGAATCATGAAGGAACAGACCTTCAGGCACAGTAACACGCTTTTCGGTCAGTGGCAAGAGCGACACCGCTTGATGCTTTGGGAAGCTCTGCCCCGTGCGGCTCGGGAGGAGGCAGCGGCCCCCCGCTCCTGGGCGCCCAGTGACGGCGAGGCGTGGCCCCTCAGACACGTGCAGCTGGCTGGAGGGACAGCGTTCTTAACAGTCCTTTCAAGTGACTGTGGAGGACTGTTCCACAGCGGTTCACCCACCAAAACTGTAAATCTCAACACAGTGGAAATAGTGAATTATATCACAGTATAGTTACAGAAATAGTGTTCACCTTACTGACCCCTCGGGACGGACTCAGGGTCCCCCGGGAGCCCAGGGACTACACCTTGAAAACTACTCATCTATGTTCGGTGAGAGTATTTGAACTTACTAGAAACTGACAAGAACACAACTTAGAAAACTAGGGTAAACCAAAATGAATAGAAAACCTCAAAAGGAGTAATAAACACAGGAAAAGCTGCTCTAAGGGAAACGCAATCCTAACAGTGGCGCAGAATTTTACACCTGTTTTCGCATGCACTGCTGGATGAACAGAGAATTTATGTGAAGTTTACACACACACACACACGCACACAAAACACCCACTTCGTGCCTGTTTCCTCATCTCTACGGGGAGGAGAACTGCCCTGCCTATTAAATAAGGTAAATAATAAACAGAGCACTTCAAAAAAAAAAAGCCAAGCAAAAACAAGCAGTGCATGTGTTTCGCTGTAATTACACGTGAAACAGCCAGCATCGCCTGGTGAGCCCGGCCCACGGGAAATGCTCAGTAAATACCAGCAATCGTCTTCGTTGTTATAAACCAGCATTCACGCCATGCAATTACATTTGTGAGCACACGAGTGTCCCCTTATGAGAGATTCCAAGGCGTATTCGTCATGAACTGCATGAAATAACATATGTCCACGCCCGTATCGTGCAGTACAGGAAAAATGAAGTGTGACTGACGGCAAAGTTTAAACAGATTATTTGCCTCCCAAAGTTAACACAACTTGGCCCAAAAATGACGTCTTTCTTCGGATGTCTGGGGTGGTGCGTGTCAGGGACCCGCAACGCTCGGGAAACCACTCATAGTTCCGCCACCTGCTCTGCATCCAGCTGCGACAGCAACGCCTGTCAGCTTCCTACTGCTACTGTAAGAGGTTACCACGAACTCAGTGGCTTAAAAGAGCACAGACTGACTGTCTTCCAGTTCTGGGGATCAGAGGTCCGAAACGAGTCCTACAAGGCTGGTGTCATCCTTCTGGAAGCCCCAGGGGCGAACCCACTTCTTTGCCACCTCCAGGCTCCAAGACCTGCCGCGTCCCTTGGCTTGGGGCCCCCTCCTCCGTCTTCAGAGGAAACCACTCCAGCCTCCCCTTGCACGGCCACGCTTCCCTTCCTGCCGCGCCCCGCCCGGGTGGCTCAGCGTAGGCTCCCCTCCTCAGGATCCTTGACCTCACTATCTCTGCAAACCCCTTCTGCCCTGGCAGGGCCACGCATTCAGGGCTGCTGGCGGGTAGACACGGCCATCCCTGAGGACCCTTCCTCGTCTACCACACGCGGGTCCCACCAGGGGCACGGAACTCTGCTTCGGGCTGTCCTGGCCGCTCCATTAGCAACTCAGCTCTCCAGTCTCAAACCTCAACTTGTCAAACTGCTTGTAGAAAAGGGTTCTGCAGACAGCGGCCGCTCCTGCCCCTGCGTGGGGGGGATGGAAGCGCACCATCAAAGATATGCAGACTTTAAAAGCAGTGCAGACTACGGTATCATCACCTCAATCTGAACACAGGACTCCACATCGCTCTGTTTTTATGCATTGTCTTAAACTGACCCGTGCAAGTCAATCCTCCCCTGAAGAGAAAAACGGCCTTCTCTGACCACGAACCCCTTACACAGCGCTCTGCAAGATGCAGGCAGCCAGTGACTCTTCTTTGATTAAAAGAGACTAAAAACAACAGACCCCCTTTAATACAAACCTGTTAAAATGTGCAAATATTTGAAAACAAGAAATGTTAAAAAAGCAAGCGGCAGCACTTCTCACCGTAGATGACGTACTTCAGCGGCAGCTTTCTGACCACCGCCTCCACAGTCGGCTTGTACTGCAGGAAACACGTGTACACGCCGCTCATGCTCTCCTCGAAGTTCTGGAACACCAGGCTCCCCGTGGATGTGATCTGCGTGGTGCTGTTCTCTAGTACAGGGACAAGGAACGGCCATCAGCTGCTTAGGTTACGTTAAGAATGGAGACAAAAACCCAAAATATTCTCTAAACAGAGAAAGTCCTTCAAAACTGACTTGCAGAATCATTAAAGGATCTGGGGACAGAGTCGTGACGTGTGGCATTTGTTGACGGTGGGTCCCAGGACGAACTTCTTAGGGTCAGGATTTCACTACCGCAGTTCATCAAGTGTGTGGCTGTCCAGGCGCTGGGACTAACAAGTCCACGTGCACAACGTGCTCCTGACCGGCTCACGGGGCCGGAATGGGCACCACCAGATACTCGCGCATGTATGAAATAACATCGATTCACACAAACTACAAAGTAATCGGATACACACGTGTATATGTACTTATTGGTGAGTTACGTTTTCAGCTAATGTACAAACTATCCATGACAGGGAGGGAGCAAGGTACCCAGAACAAAGGCTACCTCAACACAGTCACCGGCAACCGGGGATTTCTCGTCATGACACACGGCACTAAGGAATACCTGGGCTACGGCCCTCAGGGCTGCAGAAGGCAGACGAGAGGTGGTTAGAGCACTGGAATTGCCCAAAGCCACACAGTCAGACCCGCGGCGCTGGGCGTCAACGCTGGACGGAAGAGCCCTTTTCACGTCAACGTGCTCCGTGACTTAGGTATCACGCCAGAAGGCGACAAGGTGGGACGCAAAAGCAGCCCGACTTAGAAGCATGAAGACCTGGATCTGGACACCTTTCTTTCTCACAAACTGTAACGTTACCTGGGGTAATCACTAAATCTTTCTGAAGTCTAGCTCCCTTGTTTGTAAAACAAAGAACCCTAATATACGATAACGTGTCTCACAGAATTGTCTCCATGTAACAAATGCCATGAACGTTAAAGTACTTGAAAAAGCTATGAATCATTAAGCTTAAATCAAGTTGTTAATTCTGAAAGTGCCATGGTTTTCCACCAGAAAAAATTAGGTATTAAAAGTCACTCAATAAACCACTCTTTATAACTGAAAGTATTATCTTAGTAAATAATTGCTTTTCTTTTTCAATTTTAAGAAAATGACTCATTGCTTATAAATCTCAGGCTGAAATTCACTTTGAAGTTTGTTTCTTCAAGACAAAACAGAAGACGAATGTTCTTAGTGATGAAATGTTCGTGAGTAATTTTTTCACGAACAATTTGTTGGGTTTCTAGCGAACGGAAGCCCGTTTCAGATGCTGAAGGAGAAATGAACAGATGGACACCCGACCCCCAAGGAACTTACACAGAGCCTGGTGCCTTGACGACCCCCATTTCTATGCCCCGGACGAAGCTGAGAAATGTGATACACGTTTAGAACGCATTTCTATTGCATTGCCCGTTTCTTCATGAGTATCTTTTGATGAAAGATTACATATTTATCAGTAACATGCCTCTTTTTTAGAACAGAGTAGGAGGTTTTCAAGTGTTTGCAGACACAGAAAGAAACATTGCAGTAACGCGATAAAAGGTGCCACAAACTGTAAAGAAGGTTTAGAATATCACGTAAGCAACGAGGCTACGCATTCCTTGGCGATAATCTGCAATAGAAATTTCCCAAACCGGAAGCACCAACCAGGAAGCGTATTAATATACATCTCAGTGCCTACCTCAGTGTTAAACATTACCACAGCCAGAACCTCTAGCAGCATGTACTTCGTAAGAACACACCCTCTGGCTACTTCTTATTTTAAAAAGTTTAAACGTGGCACACTTTGAAGAGATGCCCAGAGGGCTTCACAGCCAAGCAAGAGAAGAACCCACTTAACAAATCAGATCTTTAAATAACTCAGTTAAGTGGGAATTTCAGGATGCCAAGGTTTAACAGTATTAAAAAAGGTGTTCATCTCAAAGCATAAAAACACTTATCTCAATTCTATGGTCTTACTCAAGATGTCCAACACTAACAGCAAATTAAGATGCATACAGGAAAGCTAGAAATGGCACATTTCCTCAATACCAAGCAATGCTCGAGGTCAGACTTTTAAATGAGACAGACGTCAGAAGTCTGAGTTAGTTTAAAACAACTGTGAATAATGTATTAAAGAATGCAGTGGAAAATGTAGGCAGCATGCAAGATGAGACAGGAGATTTCAGCACAGACTGAAACTATAAGAAAGAATTAAATGGAAATGTTAGAACTAAAAACAAAACAAAATGGAAAGAAACTATAAAAATACAGTAACACAGACGGAGCCTTGCTTCAATGGGCTCATAAATTAAGAAAATCAATGAACCTGAAGACGGGTCAAAAGAAATTCACCCAGCCAGAATCAGAAAGAGAAAAAACAAAACAACAACAAAAAACACCAAGAAGAAAGACTCCAAGATTCGTGCAACAATATCTAACAGTGTCACCCACGTGTGACAGGGATCTCAGAAGGAGCAGACAGACAGGACGGAGCAGAACCGTGTCAAGATACAACGGCGGAGAATTTTCCAGAATTAATGACAAACCCAAACTGCAGACCCAAGAAGCTTATAGAACACAAGCAGAATAATACAAATAACAAAAAAACAAAAAATAAGCATTTAATATCTGAATCACTGAAAACGAAAGGCCAAGAGGAAATCTTGACATTAATCAGAAAAAAAAAAGCACACTGCCCCGAGAGAGACAGGGATGAGGTTACAGCAGCCTTCTCATGAGAAACTCTCCCAGCCAAAAGAACACAGGGGGTCACCTTTAGCATGTTGAAAGAAAAAAACCTGCCAACCCAGAGTTCTACAACCAGCAAAAGAAAAAGATGAGCAAATTTGACCCAAAGCAGACAGAAGAAAGAAATAATAAAGGTAAATGCAGAAATCAACGAAACTGAAACAGGAAAAATACCAGAGGGAAATAAATCAAACCAAAAGCTGGTCCCTTGAAAAACGGATAAAATTGTTAGCCAGAGACCAAAGTGAAAGAGAAGTGACACGACCAACAGCAGGAGTGAATGAGGGCACATCAGAGAGGTCCTGAACATTGCGAAAAGACAGCAAGAAGGCACCACAAACCGCGTTACACGTCAATTCACCAAGTCCAAGAAAATCAAAGCTGGGCAGATTCCTTAAAAGACACAAAGCATGAAAACTCACAGACGGCGTGAGAGGAAAACCCGATCGCTTCCTCATTTAGGTTATTACCTGTGAAGTCTGAGACGAGACTCCAAAGGCACATGACCTCATTCTCTCCACGCCTCTATTTTTCATGGAGGACATGGCTGTACTTACTGCAAAGAACTGCTATGAAATTTAAATGATGAGCACGTGCAAATTGCTCAGAACGGTGGCTGACGTATGATTCAATTCAGATGTGTTTACTGTTTTTATAAAATTCAAAATAAAAATGAAATAAAAATACGCTCTTGTGGAATACAAAATACATACAGATCTGTATTTATTTACATAAATACGTGCATTTGCTATACGTGTGAACACACAGATACAGATATGCATTTACACACACACAAACACATCTATGACACAGGTCACAGAAATGTACTTGTGTATTCATGAGCATGGTAAATGCACGTATGTGTATATAACGTGTTTATATGTGCAGCATTATATATAAACACGTTAATTATATATAACATATATAATGTGTATCATGTGTTTAATGCATGTAGTAAATGCATTAAAAAAAAAAGCTACGGAATAATGTTGTAAAAGCTCGGCACAGTGTTTCCCTGCCAGGGGCCTGGGCTCAGAAGAACGGGATTTTTAGACACGAGAAGGTTCAACAGTCTTGATGACGGTGTATCTTGCCGTCTTATTATTAGGGAGTTTTATGATGCCTCAGACCTTACCTCCGTCTCACGTAGGTCTGTGCATATCAGACGCTTCACAGTAAAAACACTGAGGGAGAGTAAGATATAACCTATGATCTCTTTTTACAAAACATAGTGAGGATGCAGGCACAGGGTACAGGTCAGCGTATGTGCGGGCCCGAGTCTGTGAGAACATTTAGAAAAGTGGTACCGCCAACGTACCAGAAAGAGTTCACTCAGCAGGACGGCATCAGGGCTGGAGTAAGAGGCACAGGCCCTGTGGCCATAAATGCACCACCCCGTAACTAAAAGCCACCGAGGGAGAGGCACATGGCAGGGGGCGGGGGGCAGACAGATGCCGTGTCTAAGGCTTGGACCCCACACTTCGCAGCCGCCCAAGCCACCCGACCATTTCTCGCCAAAGCAGCGTGCAAGTACGTAACTGCACGTTCCTTTGGTTCAACTTCAGGGGAACTACCTTTGGGACACCCACAGAAAGATACCTAAAAGACAGCGTAGTTAAACCTAGGGTCCAAAAGGGTTCTCTGTTTTCCAAGCTGTAAGACAATCAGACATTTCCTCAGGTCTTCCTGAAATAACTGAGAAGACTAACGAGCTTTCAAACGGCCGACAGTGAACCAGGATGCGATACCACATTGAATACCAAAACAGAATCATGATGTCAGAATCCCAGGGTTTTCTGGGAACAGCTTTTATAAATATTTATAAATTACAGATACAAAAACGATTGCATTAATATGATTTTATCCTTACCTGGAAACAGCTACATTTCTGAAAATCTATTTTTCCATTATGAAAGTAAGTAAAAAAAAAAAGTCACTTCCAGTTAAAGGATTCAAAATCCACTTACACACTATATTTCGCAACACTGGCATGGCATCTTGGAGGAGAAAATGCTTCAAGTTCCAATTTCCAAATCAAAGGAGCAGCAAATTACAGCAGAGCAACGTAATACTTAAACACTTCTATTTCTGAACTCAGAGTTTCAGTATCAAATGCAAAATAGACTTAATATCCCTGTCTGTATTATGTTCTGTGTTTTCGGGGAGCAATGAAAATAGAATTTGGTTCTATTCTCAGCACCGGATGCCTTTACACCCGGCCCACTGCACTGACTTGTGCTAACGGCCCAGCCTGTCGGGGTTCCCGTTCCTGGCCTCTGCCGGCTGCTCCCCGCCGCTCTCCGGCTGCAGTCGGCTCCCCGGGCCTCCCGCGATGCACAGCACCACGTGGTCACCCCCTGAGAGCTGAAGAAACCCTGAAGAAACGCCACCTCGCGTATAGCGTGGAGTCACTCTCTAAGCCTTGAGTTATGTTCGAATCAACATAAATATTAGAATAACGTACAAGGGATCGTTCAACTACACACAATGTGAATTGAAACGTAAAATATTTCTTCAGCAAGTCTTTGTGTGAATATACTGTTTTTCTCTGTTCCAGTTTACTGGATGAGCCGGTGGGAGGAAATATTTCGGACGAAGATTCATTAATCTGAAGGCTGGAAACAAAACCAGCCAAGCTGATTTATATTTGTGAAACAACACTGCAAAAACAAACCAGCTCTTAGCCAACAAAAAAATTTAGAATGGAAGTAAGATAGGCGTTTCAAAATAGCAAAATAAGACGGTGAATGGAGAAAATGTTGATCAAATCAATCAGGCCAATAGTAGTCCCCCTGTGGAAAAAGGCACCTTCAGGGGAAGGAGAGCTTGCTTTCTCAAAAATCTGAAAACCCTAAGGCTGCCGTTAGGGTGCGTCTCAAGTCCCCCCTCTCTGGCTGAGCACACGAGCACTCAATTTCCGCTTTGGCAAGCACAGCATTGATACCGTGTCAGTACATGGCCACTGCCAAACCACTCAGGGTATTTAATAAAAAGCATGTTCTTAACACTAAAATATGTTAAATTTAGTCCTTTTTTCAAAATGGATAATAAGACTTCAGTTAAATTCACCTACAATCCATATTGTGCGGTCAGGATTTTGGTCGGAATGAAACAGAAGTTCAAATACACACAAGACCGTTAACTACTAATAAAAGCCTCGAGCTGCCCATGTGGGGCGGTGTAAAACACGCACCGCCACGGTTACAGATCCAGAGCTCAAAGGGCTCGCTGGTCTTCTGACCAAAAGCCAGAGTCACATGCGTGTCTTCATACACTCTGTGCGGACAGAAGTCTGACTCAAGTAACCAAAATGATTTTATGAACTTTACAAAGAAAAGGCAGCACCGTCTTGAAATAAGGATGCTTAGAGAATTTTCCACTTTAATCATCCTGCACGTGTCTATCTCAGACTGAGATCTGTGAAGCGTGGCCGCGCCACGTACACTGTGAGACCCCGACTCCAGAAAGAAATCACGAGTAAGGGACTGAGTTAACAGATGAATGTGGACGAGATACAAGGATTCCTTCTGTTCTGAGCACAGCTCACACGGGTCACTTTTAATCACAACTGACACCGAGTCCTACCTGAAACAATTTTCCCCTTCGGCCCGTGCCACTGGAACGACGGGTCCACCAGCTCGGAATTCCGGAGTTGCTGCGTGACACACAACACGTGCGGGCTCTTCCGATGGAGCGGGACGTACACCTTCACTGCGAACACAACGTTAACATGTTCCCATAACGTTTCAGGCTCATTCACGTTCCACAGTGGCTTACATTCTGCACTCTGGGCTACACGTTTCCGTGCGTTTTCTTTGGATTATTGCTATTACTTGATGAGAACTCAGTGTCACTGCGCTCCACGTAACTCACATTCAAAAAGACACACTTATTTGGGTGTGAGAATGTATCTCAGTCTCAGCATAATGCATTGGTCTTTTTATTCAGAGCTCACAAACACTAACTTATTTTATTCTCAAAAACGTATTTAATTACAGAATACTAATTAATTCTATATCTAGACTTCATCCGTTTTGCGAAGACCAAACCTGAAAGAAAGTGACAAGATAAATTTGTTGATTAGAGGAGTAACAGATAGACTGAAGATAAGAAGGCAATCGTTATTTAAATAAAATATAAACTAGTACTTTATATCTTTGGGATATGGAATGATTCTTAATGTAAAAAGCATAAACATAAAAAGAAAAACACCGAACGCAACTCCTTAAATAATAACAATTTCTGTTCAGTCCTATGACACAGACAAAGTTGACATCTGGGACCAAAGCACAACCAACTTGGCATCTGGGAGAAGCTGTCTGCAAAAAAGACAGTCAATAAGGAATTTATAACTGGAGTATAAATAATATGAAACTGACTCCTTCGAGGACAGCAAGAGAATGATGGGCAGAGGTAACTTAACTTTCAGTTTAGCCAAAATGGAAAACCTGGACAGCGTGTCACGCCGTGAGGGTGTGGGGACAGCACCAGTGCGTGAAGCGGAAACTGCGGAGCGGCTCTCCTGAGGCTGAGAACGCCCCGTCCTGCGACGAGGAGCTTCTACTCCTGCATATCGCAAACCCAGAAACCTTGTCAACAGGCACAGGATGAAACCGAGACAAAGGTCTTCACACACAACAACAACAACAAAAAGGAAAGAATTCCAAGTGCAACAAAGACGTAAAGAAATAATTACTGAATGAATGGAAACATGAGGGATGAAACTAGGAGACCAGCTGCTCTGAGAGAAGAAGTAAAAAGGGAACAAGGTAAAGAGGTCACAGCACGGAAAGCCGGCTGACCTCGTGTGACAGAAGAAACTGAAGAGGTTCTAGGCGAGAAAAATCAGGCAGCCAGCATTTTACACAGGGACAACTAGCAAAATTTATAACAGCCTACTCTGGGATATGAGAAATACATATCAAGGAAAACTAATGAGTTTTAAGGATAAATGTAAGCATATCCGGTAGAAGAAAGCAACAAAAAGGGAAATTAGTTTCATGTAACTTTTATAATTTATGTTTAAAAGCTATATAGTTTTTTTAAAAAAGTTGTGATGATCAGTGAAAACGGCAGAGTAAAGAATTCCAAAAATCACCCCTTCATAAAGGTAATAAGAAAAAATGGCATAAACTGCCAGAATTAGTATTTTCAGAACTCTGGAAATTAATCAAGACTTGCAGCACCCAGCAAAAACGTGTTCAACAAAAGCAACCGGATCTGGGTGTGACGGGTTAACGATCTTCATTCAGTTACCAATGATAACTCAGCCACCCCACTCCCATCACCCCTCCCCAGCTCTGTGTAACCCTGAAAACCACCTGCCGCAATGGCTCCAAGAACCAGCAGCCTGGCAGCCGCCGGCGGGCAGACGGCCTTCAGCGCCTCCCTCCTGGGGCACCGTCATCACCCGACCTTTCTGGCAGGGTCCTGGACGGCACCCCTCACAAGGCGGGCTTCACTGGATCTAGCTCGGAGCACGCCCACCGTAAAAAGCCTTTTCCACAAAGGGCATTCGTCAGAAACCACAGTGGCAGAGGCCGCCACTGAACGATGTAAATGCCTGGCGCCGTGGGCACAGCCGGGGGAGCATCAGGCTACCGAAAGCTTACGAGGAAAAGTGGGGCGTGACATGCCAAGGGCGCTCTGCAAGGCCTGGCACATCCCTGGGGGATAGAAGGCCAAGTGCCCGCGGTGTGCGGCACTCGGCCAAGACCAGGCGAGCTCAGGGAACAACGAGAGGCCTTGCCGTCCCCTCCTCGGGCTGAAACCGAGGCCCTGCCTGCACACGGCAGAGCTGTCAAGTGATGACTAGACGTGGAGGGTGTGCCACGGCGGGCACGCCCAGCGCCTCCCAAGAAACAGCAGACTAACCGTTCCAGGCATTAAATGAAATGTCTGCCGAGCCATCAGCCCAGCTAAGCCACCTGAGCGGACTCACCAGTGGCTACACAAGACAGAGAACACATAACGTAAAGACTAGCTCAGAGAAGTCACTCAACAAACACCACAGGAACACCTCGGCTCACTGCGCCTCACTTTATTGTGCTTCACAGATACTGAATTCTTTTGACCTTCAGTGGTTTGTAGCAAGCCTGCGTTTCAGATGACGGTTAGCATTTTTTAGCAACCAAGCATTTTTAAATTAAGGTACGTACATTGCTTTTTTAAGCTGCGATGCTATTGCACACTTAATAGTACACAGCACCGTGTAAACATAACTTTCACAGGCTTGGGGAAACCAAAAAGCTTCATGCGACTTGCTTTACCGTGACACTGGCTTCGCCGCCGTGGTCTGGAACCGGCCCTGCAGCGAACTCCGAGCTGTGCCTGTACAACCAGCAGTGACGACGTGAATCCCCAGGGAGGGGGAAGAACGCGGTCTCCCGAGCACGGCACAGTATCACCTACAACGTCCAGTTTTCAGCCAAAAATAGGAGTCGTGCAAAAAACCAAGGAAGTGTAACCACAGTCAAGGGGGAAAAAAAACAAACAACAGAAGTGTCTCTGAGGAAGGCCGAATTTCCGAGTCACTGGACAGTGACTTTAAATCAGTTATTTTAAGTATGGTCAAAGCACGTCATGAAGTACCAAAGAAAGGTATGCAAACGATGTCTCTCCAAAGACAGAACATCAATAAAGCATCAGAAACTATAAAAAAGAGCCAAAGAAAAATTCTGCATTAAAAAGCACAACAACTGAAGTGAACACTCGTTCTATTCACAATAGCATCAGAAAGAGTAAAATATTTAGGGATAAATTTAACAAAAAAAGTACAGGACTCATACACTGAGAACTTTAAAACATCACTGAGAGAAGTCAAAGAACACCTAAATGAATGAAAAGGCACTCCACGTTTATGAACTGGAAGACATTACAGTGTTAACGTGGTAATATTCCCAAACAGACTGCATGCAGTCCCTATGAGGATCCCAGAGAGTTTTTTTCCAAAAATTGACAAGCATGGACTCTCAAAGGACCCAGAATGGCCAAAAAAATCTTGAAAAAGAGCAAATTTGAAGAACTCACACTTAATACTTTCAAAACTGGCTATAAAGCAACAGCAATCATGACAGCATGGTAATGGCGCAGGGGCAGACATACGTATCAATGGAATTTAGAGTCCATTAAAAAAATACATCTATGGCAAAATGCTCTTCAACAAGGGCACCAAGACAACTCAACAGAGGGGGAAACGTCTCTGAAACACACAGTGCTGGAACAAGCGGCTCTCCACACGCAAAAGAATGAAGGTTGGCCTCTACTTCACACCATGTGCAAAAAAATTCAAAATGGACCAAACACCTAAATGTAGGAGCCAAAGCTATAAAGTTCTTACAAGAAAACAGAAGGTAACACTATGTGACGGTGACTGGGCAAACATTTCTGAGACACGGCTCCTACAGCAACAGTACCAAAGGAAAAATAGAAATGAGACTTCATCACTGTTTAAAATGTGCTCTTAGAGAACACTATTAAAAAGTGAAAACACAATCCACAGAATAGAAGACAGTATTTGCAAATCCAACATCTGACAAGGGTCTAGCATCCAGAGCGTATTTTAAAAAACTCTTCCAACTCAACAATATAAAAGACAACCAAATTAAAAATACGCAACGGACCTGAACAGGCATTTCTGCAGAGAAATTTGTTTATTCAAATAGTCAATAAACACACGAAATGAAATTCCAAGTATCAGTCACTGGGGAAATGCAAATCAAAACCACAATGAGAATCCACTTCACACACACTAGGATGACTATGATTTAAAAAGATGGACAATAATAAATGCTAATATGGATGCTGGGAAATTTGAATCCTCATACATTTCTGACGTGAAAGTACAACAGCTCGGGCTCTCTGAAAAATAGTTTGTCAGTTCCTGAAAATGTGAAACACAGAGCTACCATATGTCCCAGCAATTTCACTCACAGAAAACACAGGCTCACACAGAAACCTGTACAGGAATGTTCACAACAGCACTCTTCAAAATAGTCAAAAAGTGGAAACTTTCTAAATAGCCATCAACTTGATGGACACACAATTATGGTATATCTATACAGCGGAATGTTACTCAGCCATAAAAAATGAAATATTGATACATTCTCTATAACACAAATGAACCCTGAAAACATCATACTAAGTGAAAGAAGCCAGACACTAAACACCACATAGTGTATGATTCCATTTACATGAACTGTCCAGAATGGGTGAATGCAGACAAACAAAGTGGATCAGTGGTTTCCAGGGGCTGGAATGTGATTGCTTAATGGGTATAGTGCTTCTTTTTGGAGCGATGAAAATGCTGTGAAATTACATATTGCTGATGGTTTCACAAGCTGGTCAATATACCAAAAACTAATCAGGTGTATACATTAAAGGAAGAATTTTAAGGTATGTAAATTTACCTCAATAAAAATAATATATATACATAATATATACAAAAAGTTGTAGACGCTCATGTAACTACTGCAAAATCTCATTAATCCAAAATCTTTATGATTTATAGCTCTCATCTGAAAAAAGTTTTAGCATACTGAGCTGCATACATTTAATGTTTATTATATAACAAACAAAAACACTATAGACAAATTTAATTAGCTAATCTTTAGAAATAATTATTTTTTGCACACTTAAGCAGTTACAGGAAACAGAATTTTATGAATCTAACTCTACGGAAATAACTTTAATCGACTTCCCTAGAAGGAAAGGGGCCATAGGAGAGGAGGATAACTGGGGAACAGCAGCCTTTTGGAAAGGATTGACAAAATTAAGCCAAATGCTAATTACTTTCTTACAGTCACTGCAAATCTACTTATTAATACCTGGAAAAGTTGGTGATCCCACTATTTTCACTGAATCCTGGGTATAGCGGAAACCTCTTGGTAATCGAAGCAAATTTCCAACTATCAAAAAGAAGAACAGAAATGATCAACAATCTGCCTCATCAGAGATTTCGAATTATTTAAAGAGCACAGTGTCACGGTATATTGGTGCCTGTTGAGGGGGAGAGCCATGAATCAATATCCTCTGATGTCTGGTATCTCGGTCCCACCTCTACCCCCTCATACGCCCCAATGAATTTAACACACTCATGCCTCACCTCTGGCTTTTTCTACACCCACTTAGAATACTCTCTTCATTTTTAAAACTTTAAATCTTCACCCTCCAAAACTCAAACCACAAATCCCTCCTCCCCCAAGCTTCGTCCTTATTTCTTCCTTTCCACAGAGCACTACTCTCTCATCACACTCACTCTACATTGTATTACAGTTCTTTATACACTTATACAATTCACCTTATCTGATTATAAGCTCAATTGATAGCAGAATCCATGTTTATGTCAACTTATCAAAATGAGTACCTTTTGACTGCCTTCTTCCAACTCCCTTACCCCCCACCCCCGCTCCCACCTCTGGCAACCACAAGTCCAATCTCTTTTCCTGAGTTTGCTTTTGAAATAGAATTGACCTACAATGCTGTTAGCTCCTGTTACACAACACGATGATTTGCCATTTCCATACACTTCAAGATCATCACCGTGGTAGGTCTACTTACGACAGCTCACCACACAAAGACACTACACAGTTACTGACTACACTCCCCACACTGTGCATTTCCTACCTGTGGCTCATTTATCTTGCAACTGGAACTTTGTACCTCTTAATCCCTCTGGCCTACTTCTTTCCTCTGTATGTTCTCTGTATGTATAAATCTGCTTAAGTTTTGATATGTTTGTTCATTTGTTTTTTTTAATTCCATACGTAAGTGAAAACATGCAGTGTTTGTCTTTCTCTGATGTATTTCACTTAGCGTAATACCTCTATTCCCAACAATGTTGTTGCAAAAGGCAAGATTTCATTACTTTTTATGGCTGAGTCCACTGAATGTAAGTGTAATCTGTATACACACACACATCTTTTTTATCCAATCATCTACTGGTGCACACTTAGGGTGCTTCCACATCTTGGCTATTGTAAGTAATGCTGCTATGAGCACTGGGGTGCATGTACCTTTTCTAATCAGCGTTTTTGTTTTCTTCGGGGAAATACCCAGGAGCAATGTTGTTGGATCACAGGGTAGTTCTATTCTTAATTCTCTGAGGCGTCTCCATGCTGTTTCCCATAGTGGTTGCACCAATTTACATCCCCGCCAACAGAGCACAAGGGTTCCCTTTTCGTCACATCCTCAACACACCTGTTCTTTGTCGTCTTTTTGATGATAGCCATTCTGACAGGTGGAAGGCGGTACCTCATTATGGTTTTGATACGCATTTCCCTGACGACTAATGTGCTGAGAACATTTTCATCTGCCTGTTGGCCATCTGCATGTCTTCCTTGGAAAAATGTCTATCCGATCCTTCACTCATTTTTTAAATGTTAATAGTTGGTTTTTTGATGTTGAGTTGTATGAGTTCTTTGCATATTTTGGATATTAGCCCCTTATGAGATATATTGTTGGTCAATATCTTCTCCCACTCAGTAGGAGGTGGCAGTCAAAGGTACAAACTTCCAGTTATAATGTAAATAAGGGCTAGGGATGTAATGTACAACATGATAAATATAATTAACACTGCCGTATGTTATACAGGAAAGTTGTTGAGAGTAAACCCTAGAAGTTCTCAACACAAGAACATTTTTTCCTATTTCTTTAATTTTGTACCTATGAGACGTGGATGTTCACTAAACTTACTGTGATAACCACTTCACGATGTATGTAAATCAAACCGTTATGCTGTGTACTTTAAACTTACACAGTGCGCTGTGTCAATTACAACTCAACACAACTGGAAGGAAAAAAGAATGTTCCTTAAACCTGGAGGAGAGAGAAGGGAGGCAGAGGAGGAAGGTAGGGTGAGACTGGGGAGGTCTTTGTAAGCCATGCCTTCACTCTGCAAAAACCAGAGTAAATAAAAGATTTACTCAAAAGAAAAAAATCCGTAACAAGCACTACACCTTGCACACAGCAGATAGCACACAGTATCTGCTACAGACGACACACCCTGGTATTGCTCGGTCGTTGCTGAATGAGCCAATGTGACCGCCGTGGCAGTGTACACAGAACACGTGGGAGAAGCAGCATGAGAAATGCAATGACGCTTACACCCAAGCAATCTCGGTTAACAGGGAGGGAGCGCCGCACAAAGAAAGGCGTACGTATTCAAAGCCAGGGGACCTGGGTCTAAACCTCAGTGGCCGCTCTCTGCTCTTAGGACAGTCTTGTCAGTTTTCTCATCTGCAAAATGAGACTAAATTGCAGCCTCAGGGCCACTGGAGGAACTGAACGGACTATTGTATGAACAACACTGCAAACCATGCCAGTAAACGAAGAATGCTGAAGCCATCAAGGCACCAGTGGCTGCCACCACCCCACAGTGAAGACCAGCCTGCAGCCCGGCTCCTGCAGCCACTCACAACGGTGCCCTCTGAGGGGACTCAGAACAAGAAAGGACAGGACACTGGCCCTAGACAGCTGGGTGCTTCTCCAAGGAATGAATTCAGTGAGCCCAAATGTTTGCTCCCTCCCATACACAGAAAAGCACTCAATTCTTTAACTTGAAATGTCTATTTTTCTTTACATAAGTAATCTTTCACTGTTCCGACTCCCTGGTCTTTGCTGTAAAGCTGCTGTAGTCCTAGCTCCTCCCCTGCCTCTTCGGAGCGGTCCCTCGGAGCCATCTGAGAGGCTGTCATCCCGGCCCGAGTCCTCCCGCCAAATAAAACAGAACCCTCAACTTTTAGGCCGTGTATTCCAGTCGACAAACCATAAAACGCTACAGGAACGCCCCCTCGCTACTCATAAGGTTTCGCCTGCTTATTCTGCACCTTATACCTCACGTCTGATCTTACTCTTACATCAGACTGTGCACGCACGCGCGCGCGCACACACAGCTTCAAGTCTAGTCCAAGGTCACGGGCACGGTCAAGACGCACCCTCCTCCCACAGGGCAACGCACGGCTGTTCCTGAACGATCCTTGGGCCCCCGGTGCCTGGCCTTGGCGCGTTTCGCGCCGTTTCCTTTGGTTCTCCCGCACATCCCACGCCTGCCTCCACGGCCCTTCCCCACTCACATTCCGGGGCGGGGGACTTCTCTTCCCCATGCGCCCCCTTCCCTGAACAACTCTCACTTTAAACAAACCTCTCCTGTGCCTCCTGACTATTCAATTCCGGGAGACTCTTTCTTTTTAAAAAAGGTCTAAAACGGGGCACACAAAATGATGCAGCCAAAGCCTTTCTAGTCAAGCGACAACCATTTAAACTCTCACTTCTGAATTATCACTTGTATTTCAGACACATAAAACAGCCTTTCAGATCTCTGGATCCAAAGGAGGAAACATAATTATACGCAGAATACTAAAAAAAAAAAAAGACAAAGGAACTTATTTACAAAACAGAAACACTCACAGACACAGAGAACACTCGGTTACCGGGGAGAAAGGAGGTGGGAAGGGATAAATTGGGAGTTTCAGATTCGCAGATATTAATAAATATGAAATAGAGAAACAAGTTTATACTGTAAAGCACAGGGAACTATATTCAATATTTTGAAACCTATGGTGAAGAATATGAGAACGGATGCATGTATGTCTCTATGTGACTGAAACGTGGTGCTGGGCACCAGAAACTGACACAACATTGTAAACTGACTATACTTCAATAAACATATGTTAAAAAATATTATTAACATAATAATAATGACACAAGTGGACTGATTATCATTTTGCTTTCTTGAATATGTGTAAGCACATCCGACTGTCCTTTATAATTGGATTACCGCATTGCTCTTATTTTGCGGTTGGCTTTATTCCTTTGATAACTAGGTAAGTTTAAAAAGCTATACATGTATTTTGTTCTTAGAAACAATAATTAAGACATATGTGAAAACTAAAGAAAGCGCAGTATACTCTATCTCTATATTTACATGCAGTATAATGTGTATGTGCAGTAGAACTATAATAATTACAGCTAATAAAACTGAAAAGGGGGTAAATAAAGTGGTGAAAAGGAAAAAATTAAGTTAAAAA